TACTTTAATCCCAATCGAACTCGCGCACTTCCTCCGAAACTGGGTGACTGTGCCCTACTAGATGGGGATTTGTATGCAAAATGTCACTAAAATCGCCATTTCGTTCTTTTAAAAGCACGGATGACCGCGATTGGCCCATATGCTGTAGTCTTTTGGACGCTGAGTCGACTGGTTTTGCCTTTGGTCCAAGAAAGCAGCGTTCCTCCTGTATTTCCCATCGAACATGGTTGGACAAGCGGTCATGTGCACCTGCGCTCCCAAGTCACCTGGTCACAGTGCTAGCAGGCGACAACTTTCACACCAAGGTTCAACTCGAGTTCAACTCAAGTGACAGGACTGCACCCAAAAAAGTTCAAAACAGGCTGTAAGTTGTACCCTGCAGGCACGGTGACCAGGTGACTGCTGATTGGTGATTTCTTCAAAACCACTGTTTTCGGGGAAATTTTCGGCTGGCCGATTTGGGAAATGCCTGATCGGCAGTGCAAGCCCTCACTCTCTGGTAGTATGACAAAGACTTGAAAGAGCAAGACTAGACTCGAGTCGAGTGTGCACGTGACATGGGACGCGTGTGGCTGGGTGATGTCACAACATTTCCAATTGTTTAACATAATTATCATCAAAACCCTGAAAATAGAGAGAGGTTGCACACAATTAAAATTCCGTGAGGAAATTCCGTGAGGACTACGTGAGGATTTCTGAACTGTACGGGGAGGGAAAGCAGAGCGATCAGCAGCAACTCGAGCTACTCACTGCAGGCGTATGGAACACATGCATGCTTGAAAACTCAGGTAGCCGGGTAATTGTGCGAACCTCACCAGGGAGAGCGTTCCACGGCAGAGCACCAGCAACAGAAAATCTCCGCTGACGGCAGTTGCTACGGTTTGCCTGGCTTAGTAGGCCATTTGACTGCTGATGGCGGGTAGGGGTGCCACGGTACAGGGAGTGAGCAGCGGCTGAATGGCTGTCCGGGGCGGGTTGCCATCGATACAGCGGATGGCTCTGTTTTGCGCGGTTAGCAGTCGTTTCAGCTGACCCTCTCGCATTGCGGCTGAAAAGCAGCAGACTCGAGGAGCCATAAAGCAGGTCGGGCATTATGATCGCCTTCACATACACCTGACGAGAGCGTCTTGATAAGCTTCGTGCGCGCCACAGGGCGTCACATTTTCTTGCCAACCTTGGTGACCACATAGTTTACATGGGTGTCACAATCTAGGCGATTGTCAAGGCGAACGCCGAGGTAGCGCGCAGAAGACGATGAGGGGAAGAGACAGTCGCCGCTGTACTTCCTGTACATGCTGCTAGTGAGAGATAGTCAGAACCTTGCTCTTGGCAGCGTTCAAGATGTGGCCTTGGGACTTCAGCCAATCGACCAGAGCAGTTGCCGAGCCCCTACCCGCTGTATGCTCGGCACCCGGTACCGTAAGCTGTTTCAAAAATCTGCTCACTCATCATCACGACTTCTTTGGCATACACGTAACCTCAAGAGATGGCTATGTGAATACATCATCAGTATCAGTTAAAAATTGAAATGTTTTGGCAAAGTCGTGGCACAGTAATGCAATTGCACTAGCAACTCGCGCTACATACATGATTGTTGCCTGATGATTGCGAGAGCATGAAACTAACTTGAAGTAGCAGCAAACAAGCCTTCATTGTCCTTGTTGTTCTGTTCTGTATTATGCTCTGTCTCCGGGGTGTTGAGCACTGTCAGCACACTGGGTACATCCTCCGGGGTGTTGAGCACTGTCAGCACACTGGGTACATCCTCCGGGGTGTTGAGCACTGTCAGCACACTGGGTACATCCTCCGGGGTGTTGAGCACTGTCAGCACACTGGGTACATCCTCCGCGGTATTGAGCACTGTCAGCACACTGCGTACATCCTCCGGGGTGTTGAGCACTGTCAGCACACTGGGTACATCCTCCGGGGTGTTGAGCACTGTCAGCACACTGGGTACATCCTCCGGGGTGTTGAGCACTGTCAGCACACTCGGTACATCCTCCGGGGTGTTGAGCACTGTCAGCACACTGGGGACATCCTCCAGGGTGTTGAGCACTGTCAGCACACTTTTTTTTCGGGGTAACGGCCTCTTTTACGGGCAAAATAAAGTCATGTAGACGTGAGAAAAATTGAGATACCATGAAAGTTAAAATAGAATTTTATTCAAGTAAAATACATTGGGAAACTCCAAGAAATTCCACGTACATGTAAAACAGACGGAATTCAGTTTTCAATGGCCGATGCCTACCCCAGCACCATCCTGCGTCGACAGGCCTGTCAGGCGCCTTCTAGACCCGCGTAGCCGGAGGTCGACTGCATGGATCACTGCAAATTGGCTGCGAACTCGCACCCAAGCCATGATGATTGAAAATGGCTTGTCCCACTTGAGGGCGAGGCGACCAGCAAGTCGCTTCTGATAGCTGGCGTATTCGCGATGTAGCACCCCATCCGTGGAACAAACCAGTGGTGTGAACGACCCACGGAGGTCCTCGGAGGCCTGACGATACTTCTTTTTCTTCGCGTTAGCAGCGCGGTTGGAAGTAGCTTCCCAGGATGAATGGGAGTAACTGGGTGCGTTGGCATCAATGATGCGATTATCAAAAAACGCCACCCTGTTATCCTCCCACACACCCCGGGCAAGCCAATCTGCCCGAAGAGCAGGCTGCCCCGTCCGATCACCCTCCGGCACCATGATCGGCTCGACGACAACACCACCGAATGCCATAATATCAGCTAGCTTTGCATCGCTATCACGCAGATCATTGTGGCCTCGCTTGATAAGTCCACCTTTCGGGCAGTCAAGGCCATGCTGGAGAGAGAAAGGCTTCCCGCAACCATCACATTGCGCTGGCAGGGCAAGCGGCTGCCGACCATAGCGGATGGCAAGTTGATCGCGGAATTCTGTACTCGACAGATCATACCCCTCGCGCTTCAGGGGCAACACCATAAGCCATCCGGAGGCATTTCCCCGTACGATGCGGGAGAGGGTGCGCTCCTCAAGCTGTGGCAGGTCACTGAGAATTGATTGGCTGATTTCAGCGGAAATCACATCTCGTTCCCTGCTGATTTGGCTTGTGATGCGGCGACAGTGAGCGCTGTGATCATTTACTGTCAGCACACTGGGTAGATCTACATCCTCCGGGGTTTTGAGCACTGTCAGCACACTGCGTACATCCTCCGGGGTGTTGAGCACTGTCAGCACACTGCGTACATCCTCCGGGGTGTTGAGCACTGTCAGCACACTGGGTACATCCTCCGGGGTGTTGAGCACTGTCAGCACACTGCGTACATCCTCCGGGGTGTTGAGCACTGTCAGCACACTGGGTACATCCTCCGGGGTTTTGAGCACTGTCAGCACGCTGGGTACATCCTCCGGGGTTTTGAGCACTGTCAGCACGCTGGGTACATCCTCCGGGGTGTTGAGCACTGTCAGCACACCGGGTACATCCTCCGGGGTGTTGAGCACTGTCAGCACACTGCGTACATCCTCCGGGGTGTTGAGCACTGTCAGCACACTGCGTACATCCTCCCGGTAAACATGAATGTTTTATTATTAGAATCACGGACTCACACTCTCTGTATTGTATTATTGCAGGAAATTTCGCACAAAGCCGAATGTAGAAATTTCTTGTGGATTTTATTTTCGTACAGTGCTGCATGTTAACGTGCACGTGTTCGCATGCAGTACGCATGTATTGTAATCTCTTTTGTGTACCATGTATACGCCCGGCGCAAGAGAAGCACGCAAATCTGCAAATGCACTGGATGTGCACCCACAGATTTTCTCTCTTAGCAACGATAGCGAACAAGATCTGAATGAGACAGATCAAGACTTGCGCCAGATAACTGTCTAATCCACACAACTGGCGAAGCCATGTGAATCGACCACCAATTCACACCTCGTCTACACCACACGGAGTACATCGGCATAAAACGGCCAAGACAGTTACCTATGCACACCCTATACTTGCTGGGGTAACCAGTATAGACAGCACGCTGCTTTGATAGAAGCAGACACTAGATGCACTGGTACTTTGAAGTGAAATTGGAGTTACTTTACCAACCAGCCTCGGCAACTGGGTACTGGGAACCCAGGGCCAACAGACATACCAACAACCTCAGCCATGAAAGCTATTATAGTAACGACACACTGGATTGTGGAGCCGAAACTAGTCCAACTTCCAAATGCTTTGGCAAGAAAGTAGCCTTCCAACAGTGTATGTATGCATGGCATATGCTGTAAATCTGTAACCAGCCATTTTCTTCCGGACGGCGAGGGATCCAGATGAAAGAAGATCGGATAAGCGAGGCCTGACTGCATTCAGTACTTAGCGCCCATAAGCAATTCTGCGAACTCCTCCCCCCCCCCCATAAAATCGTCTGCGTACTAGTAACCTCCGTATACTCAGCGTTGCAGAGAGGTTCCAATGACTCAACCCCATGACATAGGGCACAGAACCTATAGCGGTGCAGTACTATGTTCGTACTGCCAGTGTGTAGGTGAAGTACTATGTTAGTACTGCCAGTGTACTTGACATGGCTACCTCAAAGAACGGACTACAGATAAATCATGTAGGTGAGGGGCTAGACTGTGATTAGACCATCTGCAAACAATCACTCATGATACGACATTAACTAGTTGGTCTGTTGGTATTGTTGCAGTGACAACACTGAACAATGAAGGCTGACATTGAAATGACTACAGCAGGGAGGACAAACAATGACTGATCCGGTGATCCCAGAGTACTACATGACTAAGCATGGCCAGGTGCAACAGAGTGGTGGCTGGAGAACGAAAGAATTTGAAGAGTTTGTTTAGCACAGTGCTCCGTACTAGGCCAGAGTGCGCATAATCATGGGAAAGAAAAACACTCCAAGGAATGGTTGGGGGGGGGAGTGCTCTCTAGGGGATGATGTCCAGGGGGGGGGGGGGGGTACACTCTAGGGGATGATGTCCGGGGGGGGGGGGGGGTACACTCTAGGGGATGATGTCCGGGGGGGGGGGGTGCACTCTAGGGGATACAATCCGGTGTGGGGTAGAGGATCTTTGTTAGGACAGCCGTTACCATGGCTACTAATCAGCATCAGATTACCATGGTCACCGCAGTGACAATTTATTATAATGAGTTGTCAGTATCAGGTTACAATGGAGTGATAACTTTAGCAGCTGCCAAGGCCACTGTAGCGACAACTGGAGGAGTTGCCAAGGCCACTGGAGCAACAAATTTAGCAGTTGCCAAGGCCACTGGAGCGACAACTGGAGGAGTTGCCAGCATCAGATTCATTGCATCCACGACAACTCGAAGATCCGGTTATCTTCTTCATTGACGCTCAACATACGACCGTTCACACCATAATAGCTTAACGGCGTTCCGCCTGTCTGTAGGACTGGCACCCACTGGCCAGTGACTGGAGAGTACAGGTATAGTTGTCCCACCGATATTCGTCTCACATCCTTGCAAACCAACTTGCCATTAATAATCCAGAATCTGGCTTTCTCCGGTGGAGGGTGGCCCAAAATACCCCTCTTCCAAGTAGTAACTGTTTGCTGCCGTGACGTGGATGCTGAGAAAATTTCCGGCCTGGCAACATTTTCCACCTTCCCGTACATGACCACATGGAGATACCCGTCGTAAACAAAACTAGTTAGACTAGTGGAATTTGCCAAGACATCATTGTATCCAGGAATGTTTGGCCAAGGCACCCAAGCCGAATTCTCCACGGCCAAATCCACACTAATGACATGAGGAAGAGCGCTATCTACGTTGCATAGTCTGCTTTCACCTGCCACCACATACAGTGTGCCGTTGCTGATGTGGACACTAAATTTGGCACGAAACGCTGGCAGTCGTACTATTCTTTTCCACCCGCCGTCTTCTCGGTATTTGAAGACGAGAGCTCCAAATTCTCGGAGGTATGTGACCAGCAAATAAAGATCGTTGTTGTCCGCTATGATGTCCAGCGTGAATCGAGCGTGGGAATGGGAATGCGGCAACCCGGGCAGGCTGCACAATACCCAGCTCGAGAGGCTGCGGGCATCTGCGCTTTTAATATTCCATTTCCCTGGGCTTAGATGTAGAGTTGTGTAGAGCCTTCCTCTGTGGTATTGAAGTGCCCCTGCCTCGTCACCTCGTTTGATCGGCAGCATTCCAATAGGCGTCCACTGTAGTGAAGGAGATACACAAAAAGACGGACAGACACCACTGTATCCATAAGTTTCGAGGGAATTGAAAGGGAAAAAGTCTGAACAACAAATGGACTGGGGTGAGTAATGGAGTGTGGTGGTGGGGCCCATTAAGCTCAGTCATCATGTTCATACATCTGCACATAACGCTACGTACATACGTCGTCGTTTTAGAAAATAAAACAAATCATTTTTCGCGTGAGACTTGGCCGGAAGCCGAGTTTTCCGCATCCGTAGGAACACCATCACCCTCTAGGATCACGGCACTGATGCAGCTCCTAAGCGGTCATCACTGGAACTGTTTTATTTTCTCCAAGCAAGGTTTCGCCATCATGGTCTTCAGTTAGAGGATATCACTGAATGGTGAACATAGACGGTCATGCTACAGGGCTTCGAAGCGATGACGTCGCACATACTTGACAACGCACATACTTGACAACGCACATACTTGACAACGCATGCCAACGACATTTCTGGGTACACACCGACTTTAGCATCCCCTTGCTCTTCACTGCTTTTGCAGGTGGGAATCAATGGTTTGCTGGAATAAACAATTTTTCTACGTGCTCCTCGCTGATAATGGTGTGCTAGGCTGATGGTGCGACGACTGGTCTTCCCAGAAAGAAAGGGTCTGCGATGAGCTTACAAAATATGTCAGAGTTCAATTTTAGCTTCCCTCAGCATCTGTTCGTATCGTAAAGAGAGCAAATTCAGATGTTCGAAGTCACGAGCATAGGATACAGCGCAAAGAATCGCCTCCCACAGTCAGAGAAAGAAAACCTCACCTTCATGCACGACGTACGGATCGATCTTCATGCTCGTCGGGGAAAAGCAAAAAAAAGTGCAGGATTCGCATCCCGATTTGTGATTTTAATTCCATGCAAGTCACTGCTCTACTCCGCCCTGCAGAAAGGAGGACTAAGCTAGCCGAATTGACTCCCGAAAGGACAATAAAAGATTATCCGGGTAGTTTGTGTAAGATATCTACTCTAATCTGCACAAGCCAGGATGTAAAATTTGAATTTTCAGTGCACAACAACACGTGCTGGCGGACGCAGTGGTCGTTTGTACCGAGCTGCTACGAAGTTATCCAGTGCGTGACGTCGCACTTCGAAGCCCTGCTAAACAAGTGGAAGTGAAAAGTGCATGTACAAAGTTTACAACGAGTGTTTTTCTCGTTAAAACCGTTTACTCTGTGCGCCGTTTGCAATTCAACTCTTACAGTACAGAACATTCTGGGTGCGGTACACAAATGACTATTTTAGCACACAAAATGTAGATCACGACGGGTATGATAATCCGTGATGTCGCAAAGGAGCCAAGTCAAACAATGCCCACACGCATCTGCCTGTAATTTGTAAAAAAAAAGAGAGTAATGTTTGCCGGATTCACGGCCATATAGCCGGACTTGTTGAGGAGCCCATCAAGCAAAGACGGTCGCATTGGCAGGCCACCCATTATCGTCAGCATCGAAAGCAGACCTCATAAGTGACTTGGGGTGGTTAAGCTTGCCTGAACGCTCATTGGGTGGACCGACGCCGTCACCGTACCCACAAGTTTCACTCATGAACTTATACGTGGGCCACCCCAATAGACCTTATGCCAGTTGTACAGATCTACGAAATCCCGTAGAATCCTGTAGGATCCCGTAGACCCGGTTGGGTGTTCATTGTGTGCTATGCATGCGCATCTGACCAATTTTAGCCTCATAATTTAATGGCAAGCAATCGCTTTTCCAGCTTCTTCAGTTTGGTTAGAACTAATGACTAGCTAGATCTTCGTCAGGAAAAGGTTTTCGTATGAAATGCCTTCAGCGCCCATTTCTTAGTGGAAATAGCAGGAAACAACGTCCTACACATTCAACACGCAACCGGGTCTACGGGATTCTACGAGATTTCCTGGATCTGTACAACTGACACAAGGCGTATGCGTTCACCGGTCATCGTTTTAATCAACGGAGTGAAGAGGAAAAATCTCAAAGAAGAAAATTGTCTGCAACCACCTGGCCTCGAACCTGGGACCGGAATAGTTTCTTTTACATTACGCTGCAATGGTATTACACACACGACCCATACATTCTCTCCTTTGACTTGAAAAAATTTCAGATTTTGAGTTTTTTGCACTCCATACATAATTTTATTTTCATTAGGCCAAACTAAAGAAGGTGTGTGGTTCGACTAACATGGACATTTTTTTTACGGGCGGGCGGGCGGATTTTTTTTTTAAATATATTTTTTAGTACATGTAAATACACTGTATACGCGTATCGAGTAGACTCTACTACCAGCACAAGGCAGCAGTCGTACCACTCACTGCACTGCACTGCAGTACAACTACAAGTCAAGTCTAAAAGGAGCCGCCTGCGTCCGCAGACTCACGCCGCACAGCACGTAGACGTGGACGTGTTCAGTCCACGTACGTCAGTCACACGACAGCCCGCCGAAAAAAAGTTACGGTCGGGCTGAAATTGTACGGTCGGTCGGGTGAGTCGAACCACACACCTTCTTTAGTTTGGCCTTATTTTATTGGTTTGGTGAGACTCCCATGATAGGTATCCATTTACCGCTGGAGAATCCGTAAATAAACAAAACTGAAACTCAAACTCAAACATTGTACGGTCTGGATGGCCCGGCAAATGACTTCCAGCGGGCTGTACACCACCGGCTGTATACCAGGCTGTTCCAGCTGGCTGATGTTCTTAAAGTGAGTATGTTGTTAATTTGCAGCGAAAATTTCCGTTTGCAGTGCTTACCTGTGGGAGAAACAGTCCAAGCTGACCAGCAGTTGAATGACGTCCAGGATACGCGAGCAGAGCAAAAGTAGCGAACACACTATCCCCATATGGAGCCGTTTGCGTTGCCAGTTTGAAGAGAATCTCCTCCAACTGATTAACTTTGCTTGCTAAGGCTCGTGACTGAAGACGTATGCAAGCAAGCCCATGATGTTTGGTGTCCAGCTCCAGCAGCAGTTTATACATGTCCTTTGTGGCTTGCTTGGACTGGTTGCGGAGATTCGGAGAAGCAAGCAACGTCTGTCTTACATTATCAAGCTCTCCACTTTCGCCGTGAAGCTTACGACGCAGGCAGTGGTGCCGTGCAACGGTGCTGTGAGCTAGCTCAATTAGCGCAGCGATAATGTTGTCACATTGCATGCAAGTGGGTGGCAGTGATGACTGATCGGGGTTGGTGTTTATGTGTTTTATGCTAGTCAAATCTAGTGGCCTTTCTTGATCATCGTCCAGCTTGGAACTGAGCTCCTGCAGAAGTTGATACAAGCGTTCGTCCTCATCCCGATCGGATGATGATTGTTGTGTAGCTCCTAATGGATGCACTGCTAGCTTGGAATGTTGATCAGTTTGTTCTTCTGCTGAAGCTTGGAGTGTCAACGACTTTGATCGCGACTCTGGAAGACTTTGCCGTTTCTTGATCAGCAATTCAATAACCGGCAACTGTACAACACCCACAGCACGACAGATGTAAATGGCGCTTGGACGATGCGCCGGATTCCTAATCAAGCACTTGCTGATGACGTTGCGCAGTGGATGATCGGAACCAAGCTCTTCGAGATCCTTCTCTCTGCCCTCATGCATTAGTTGTAAAAGGTTTGGAGGTTCTCTGCCAAGACTCACGCTGAGCATTGATACGCCAAATGAATAGCAGTCGCTTGCACTCTCAACTCTTCTCCAGCTGTGTATGCCTGCGCTGGAAATCTCATCGCACTCAGGTGCTAGGTACGTGACTGATTCAGAGTTCATAGATATAAGCTGTGCATCTCCACGGTCCAACAACTCAGCCAATCGACTAACATGCACGATTCTGGCCTGCAACTCCAAACCAGCAGGCGTCGCCATCTCCCACAACAGTATAGTGTACAGATTGAGATATCCAATGACAATACCGCAGCCATGCACGTACTCCAAAGCAGAAGACACTCCGAGAGCGATAATCGCTTCTTCCAAAGCGGATAGAGCCGACTCTGGGGTGCAGCGCTTTCGCAAAGTCTGCGTGGAATACTCCATTACGGTATTTGGTGCATGGCTATAGGTCACAGTCACCGTCCCCAACAGCTCAATGATAGTCAAACGGGGCTCTAGCTCTCTCAGTGCCACAAACTCACGCCAAAATTGCAGCGGCCGGCTTGTGAATTCTCCATGCTTGCCGTGGAGCAGACGTGGACGACAGGGTTGTGCTCTTGTCACAGATGTGGTACGATGGGCACTAGAACACGCTGCTCCGAACGTACCCGCCGGGCTCCTCCGCCGAAACATACCGGGCCCTCCGTAAAGTGCAATATAAGGAATCAGCAACAAGAAGAAGTACAACAACAAAAACAACAACAACAACATAACGAATTCAAATTCAAACATTCCGAACCAGGTGGAGAAGAAAAGGCTACACAAATCACAAGACTGAACGAGGACAGCTGGACTAGTGTTTCATTCCGCAGTAAAACGTCGACACTCAGCAAAGACTAAGTACAATGTAGTTAGCCGGACTGCACTGCATGCACTGAGCTCTATCAGGTACTTTTCAACGTCTTGAAGTGCGAAGACTATGACTAACCGACTATCCAGAAAGAGACAACCTCCGCCGCAGGGGCCTATGGCCATGGCCTCGGTCACACGTGCACTTTTTTTGGCGGCGCCGGCCGCCAGCGCGTTGATTTACCTCAGTACCTGAAATAGTTGCGTGTGTGACCAAGGCCTGTAAACTAATGATTTACTTAGTAAACCGGCCCCAGGATTACGCCGTAGACTCTAGCATGCAGCCTGGTCTACATACCGGTAAGCCATTTACATGACATGTACACTGGTCATGTACTGCATGCGCTGTTAGTTTGACAGCATGAAACAAGGACATTCTTAGGTGGAGGACACTGACTGTGTTCGGAAACAGTAACCTAGCGCCCTGGCCTGGGCGGGCTGGGGCCGCTAGACGTGCGACCGGATTTCCATGTCCAGGACAGTACAACCATCCACGGTTGTCCTCCACCTTGCTTCATGCTGTCAAACTAACATCATGTGTGAACTATCCCAGAATTAATTCGTTGTTTCGGGTCACCCGACCGACCGTCTTTTTTCACCCGACCGCAAAATGTTTTTTTATAGTGCATGCATATGTACTGAGACTACACTATGTACACACGCGACACAAATAATAGCAGTCCAGACATCGACCTCAGGCTCAGAAGCAGCCAATTGACAGGATGCAGCACTTGGTGACGACGTTGTCTTCTACATGTACATGTATCTCCGATCCGCAATCGGTCCTGAAACAGCATCAGCTCCGCCACTGCGAGCCCTTTCCCAAAGGTGCTCGCCCCTTTTTTCGCCCTGTTTGGCCCTTTTTGGAAAGCCCGTTTCTTTCGCCCTTTATTGCGTTTTTTGGTGAATATCGCCCCTTTTGAGCTTTTTTAGCTGAAAAAGTGCTGAAATCTGTTTGCTCATGCAGGCGGTCACAGTTTCCGAGTGCTCGATGTGGATGGGCCTTGGAACGCCGCATTTTCGGGGGGGGGCAACAAGTTGGTGAAGCTTGTACCCGGTGTACGGAATGCTGTAAACAGTGGGTTTTGGAACTTTACTTCCTGTTTTGCCTTTCGTGGACCCATAAATGGAAGAGCGCGTATTCATTTCTCAACTTGGGTTCATATCTGAACATGTATCATGGCTATCCTTCACTGAAAAAAGAGCACTTTTTGCCTGTTTTCACTGAAAAAAGAGCACTTTTTCAGCATATTTTGAGGGACGCGAAAAGCACTAAGTGCGAATTAAAACAGCACCTTTGGGAAAAAGCTACCACTGCGTCGCTCATTGACAGAAGTTTTCAAGGTGAGAGCTGTTCGTCAGACTCGTTTGCCAGCGAAGCCAAGATCTGGTCCTGGAGGGGACCTGGATCTGATGGGATAATGGCTACGCTGGATCGACTACAGTCAGATTTGATCCACTGGTAGCCCTTTCCCAAAGATGCTCGCCACTTTTTTCGCAACTTTTCGTTGTTTAGGAAGAAATCCAACTTTCGCAACTTCCTTCTTTTTCGCGAACTATTTCGCAACTTTTCCGCAACCTTGGCCCCATGGCATGTGGTCAAAACGGTCCAGTCACGGACTGCATGTCGAACAAATGCATACTCGCTCATTTCTCACCTGCCTTTAGACTCATTTCAGAGAAACAGTAGATCAACGGTAGTTACGATAATGTGCATTCCCTTTGCCTTGCACTGGACCGATGTAGGATACATAATAATATGCAACAGGATACTGGCCAGCATTGTGTAAAGTGGTGATTCACAGCAGGAAGGGATGTACGAGTTTGACATCTGCTATTTCTGTTTCCTTTTTGGTGGTTTTTGCACACACCTTTTGAGCTTTTTCTGAAAAATATGGATGCGATTTCAGCAACTAGCACCTGTTTTGGCACGGTTGCGAAAAGCATAAGTTGCGAAAAATCATCCGACACCGACTCCGACATCGGCTGACTGGGCCATGGGTCCCACTACATACATGTACATGAATATTGTTAGATTGACAGCATGAAACAAGGTGGAGGACACTGTGTTCGGAAACAGTGATCTTACTACAACCTTCTGCGGTTGGCAGAGCCCCGGTCAACCGCGGAAGGTTGTAGTAAGGTCACTGTTTCCGAACACAGTGTCCTCAACCTTGTTTCATGCTGTCAATCTAACAAATTGCGTGAACTATAACAAGATTTATCTAATACTGATTTTTTAACCAGTGTTAGGTTATAATAATACATGTACATGACCGTGTACTTGTATTACACACACACACACACACACACACACACACACACACACACAAATTTGTCGGAAACAAGGGCTGAAACGATTATATCGGTTATCCGTCTAATCGATCATTACAACGAAGCGATTTCGATTATGCTGTCTGCTTCGATTACACGATTTAAGAAAATATATATATATTTCACGGTTCGCGTGAGACTCATCCAAAGGCCCAGTTTTCCGCATCCGCAGGAACGCCACCACCCTCTTGGACCAAGGCGCAGATGCACGATTCAAAAACCTGTACAAGAATCAAAAGATGCCATCCATGTACATGTACATGCGCATTACGGTACTTGGCCCTTTTCCTCGTTTTTTTGTTAATAATAATAATAACTTTATTAGGATGACCCAAAGGCTGACCGCCTATCCTGGGGTCCGTCGCATTGAAGGATGGTGGTACAAGAGAGTACAGATTGGTAATGGGGGGGGGGGGGCTACGATGAACAGGGTAACGGCATGCCAGCGAGTAGACCTGAATGTTATCCCGTCATGTTTTCCAGTAGGGCTAAAAAAAAATGATAATAATAATAATAATAACGAGAGAGCTTGGAAGCTCAGGGAGTCATGACGTCAGGGCCCTACGCTATGCTTTTTTGCCTAGCTCATCGTGCATGTTGTTAGAACTGATGGACATGTTTTCCATTGATTGGTTCCTGTACATCATTGTATTGCAAAAACGTTTCGATCAGTTTTTTTGGTTTTGCTTCTCTTCCTTAGGGTTTACCGGGTGTTAGCGGCCGTCGTGAGTTCCCTTCGGGAACGGACACGATAATTTACTTTTTTTCTCTTCCTTTTGTTTTGTTTTGTTTTGTTTATTTACGGATTCTCCGGAGGTAAATGGATACCTATCATGGGAGTCTCTTTTTATCTCCTAATAATCGGATTTTCTGGCCTTTTTGTAGTAATACATTGACCTGTTGAGCCAATGAGATAAAATTATATTCCATACAATACGATACAATAGAATAATTATAGCAATAAAAACTGCTTTATGGCAGTTTTCTAAAAAAAGTTATTGTGTTCTAGTCCATGGACCCCGTCTAAAAAGTAAGAAATTAATGAAATGTGATAGCTGAAAATTAAAATTTCACACAAAACCTCACAATAATCACAACACTTGATATGCTGCTTTCAACCAGGGAGTAGTACAATACTACTCCCTGCTTTCAACACTAAACTTGTACTGCACCAACAATTGGCAAAATGCATGCATAGGAAAGAGGATCGCGAGGGGAAAAGGTCTTCTGCATGTAGCTTTTCATTCTGTGTGTGATTATTGTGAGGTTTTGTGTGAAATTTTAATTTTCAGCTATCACATTTCGTTAATTTCTTACTTTTTAGACGGGGTCCATGGACTAGAACACAATAACTTTTTTTAGAAAACTGCCATAAAGCAGTTTTTATTGCTATAATTTCTTTTGTTTTTTCTGTCACCAATCAAAGGAATGCCTTATATCAATATGTAAATGATGGCCTTCACATCATACCAATACCATATTATACGCATTGATGTGCAAGCCTTTTCTTGCAGAAAATGGCACTAGCATAATGCATGTTCTTCTGCGGGGAAACATGTGAGCAGTGGTGGTGATACTTTTTTTAAACGGAGGTCATTCTGTGCATGTTGCTGTTGCAGAATTTCATGACTCTGTCATAAAATTGTCTTGCCTTTCAGATATTTCAGATTTCTCCACCCTCGATCAGATTTATTTGAGAAATGTAGCCATGCGGCAGGTGCGTGTCGCAGATGTTTTTGTTGATTCTGTGTTCATAATGGTTTATAGTCATGGGTTATCGTGATAAGGTCATCCAGCATCATATTGAAACTGAAATCGTAATCCTGTTGATGTCAATACAACTTTTGGAAGTAGTTCAATGACTTCAAACTGTTAGTCCACGATTGTCTAAAACAACACAGCAAAGGAGGAACAATAAACATGTATTAAAATGTAAACTAATACATTGCTGAGTCCGACACCTCGTTCCAACAACTACACTGATCCTGAGGATAAAAGGGGCAAGGCTATGGTTGGAGGTACTGAGAGATAAACAAGGCACTCCACAATAATAAAATCTTACACATCTTTTGGTGAGTATGAATGATATCCAGTTGAACCTCTTTAGGATGAACACCAAGGGACCGATGGTATTTATTCTGTGAGCTTAACCTATTTTATAACCAGAGAATACAATTATATCTCCAATAGACATACGAATAGATTTCTTCTACAGCGAAAGACTCTAAGCCACACTGACTCATTGACTCGTCTCGTATGAAACAATTGAGTCACTAGAGAGATTCTGCAAAACGAAAATGCGTACAAACTTTCGCTCTACATCATGAAGTGCGAAATTTCGCACCTTTGGACGCGAAACTTGCAGGGAACGCGAAATGAACTGCCTTAGGAAATTTCGTGAGATCGGGTCATGGCGTAAGTGCACTTGGCTCGCGCAAACTACGAAATGTGCAGAACGCAAAGTTCGTGCAAATATTCGCACACACTTTCGCAAGGACTGTCGCGAAACTTCGTTTGAATTTTCGTTTTGCAGAACCTCTCTACTGAACCTTGCAACATGACGGCAACTGAAACAGCAACAGAGAGTACGATAAATGTACTCCACATTCTTACAGGTACTACCAAGAGTCCATAACCCAAGAGTATGCAACTGTGATCTCTTTTCTATGGGCCGACCG